GGAGCTCTCTGCTCTCATCATTGCATGTCCACTGCTCTCTGACATAGATCCCACTTACTGGATGTGTATTATACACTGTATGGTTTCTTTCTTTTTCATTTAACAAGTATACATTTTGATGTTTACATATTCATGTTTTAGTATTATGCTTTATACGTCTATAATTTATATCATTCATCCATAAAAGCTTATTTATTGTATTTTTGTATGTTTATAAATACACAGACATATATATATAAAGTTTTCTACACTGTCTGGCAAAGCACTTAAATCTACCAAAGCTGCATATTTCTTTTTTTTTTTTTTAAAGATTTATTTTTATTATTTTTTATTGGAAAGGCGGATATACAGAGAGGAGAGACAGAGAGGAAGATCTTCCATCCGATGATTCACTCCCCAAGTGAGCCGCAACGGGTCGATACTATGCCGATCCGAAGCCAGGAGCCTCTTCTGGGTCTCCCACGCGGGTGCAGGGTCCCAAAGCTTTGGGCCGTCCTCGACTGCCTTCCCAGGCCACAGGCAGGGAGCTGGAAGGGAAGCGGGGCTGCCGGGATTAGAACCGGCGCCCATATGGGATCCCGGGCTTGCAAGGCGAGGACTTAACCACTTGCGCCACCGCGCCGGGCCCTGCATATTTCTTTTAATACGTTTCTATAGTTTATGCTCATATTTCCCTGTGAACAGGCTCATGTCTGTAGTGTAACTGTGCACTCTGAGCAAGGCTGAACAGACAAGATGGAGCCTGAGCCATTCGCTGGCCCCAGATTCAAAATGGAGCCGAGCAGCGGTTTGCTGCTTGCTGCCTGTGCAAGTCCTCTGCTATGTTCTGCATTCCTGAATAAACCACAAGTTGGACTTGGCAGCCCTTGCCTTTCATCTTCCTATTGCAACTGCCAAGATTTAGAATGGAGCAAAAAGAAAAATGTCTTTAATATGCTGTAAGAGCTCAGCCAAAACATTCCAACTCAGAGTTTCCTGGAAATGTCAGCCAATCAGAGAGGTGCTCTCTGCCTGCCCCGTTTTGCCTTTGAGAGACAGCCACTTCCTTTGTCCCCAGGAGTCAATGTGTGCTTGTGGCAAGGGCTGTTCCTCTCCAACTTGTAAGCTGCTTGTTAAAATAAAGCCCCCCGCCCTTTTTTACCACCAAAAAAATTCCTTTCCTGTGGATTGTTTTTTTTCTACTGATATGCCTTGGCAGCAGCAGGAATGGACACAAATTGCCGGTTCACCCTGCACAACCCCTGGCCTTGCCCAGGTGCCCAGAGCCCCTTGAGATCAGTTGTTTGTCCAGGATTTCTGGGGCCTATGGGAGGGTAACCCACATTCTGTGTTTGTTCAAGCTAATCAGCCACCTCCTAGCCCTCCAGCCAGCTTCATGATTAAAAATTACAGTCTGGAGAGGAGCGACAGAAATAAAACAAGCTCTGTAAAAAAGTTATTCATGAAGAGTCTGAGTAGACACAGGGCCACTGCCTTTTAATGAGCCTTGGGAAGTGTTCCAAAGTGGTGAAACCCACAAGGAGATGCAATCATCCCGAGGGGGTTAGAGAGTAAGAGAGGGCTGCGCACAGGAAGAGGGCATGAAGGTAAGCCAAAAAAGGGCTAGCTCCACTCCCAAAGGTCCCCTTTATGAGGTGCCTTGAATATGCACATGGGGTGTTGTTGGGGCTGGGTTTAATGCATGGGAGTCTTCTCTATATTGGGCTGTAGTCACACGTTTTCATCAGGATGCCTTCTTCCTAGTGCAGAAGACACTGGTGCACCATGGGAAAGTGGACATAATGGATTGGCATGTGAGGGGATAGAGTTAAAATGCAGGGCTGGAGATAGAAATTGTGGAAAAATCTTCCAGCTCACTTTTTCTGGGCCTCATATCATAAATTCACACACACAGATTCATACACACACTTTCAAGTTCATCTATGCTCTCCCTTCTGCACTGGTGAAGCACCCAGTCTGGTAGATATACATTTTATATTTATAAATTTCAATTTCATATTTCTACATATTCATGTTTACTCATTTAAAGTATTCCAATCTCTCTCTATAAGTATAAATATGTATTTTCATCTGTGTACATTAATATTTATAGACTAGTCTATTATTGGTTGAGATGAATACTCATGACTCAGAAAAGCATTAAGAACCAAGAGATGCTTGGAAACATTACTCTCAACACTACTGACCTAGGATCACGGCCAGGTCCCTCGTGTGGTCTCTCTGTAGACTGGCTCCTTGGGGCATATTCAGTGTCCATTCCCTAATACCAGCTCAGGAAGAACCGTCTTCCCCAGAGGTAGAAACTTGGTTTTGCTACACTGATCATCCACCCAACTGGGGAGAAACAGCCGAACACTCAACCTTTCACTTCATTTCCTAAGAGGACTGGGTGCTTTCAGGTGCTTTGGATTGGCAAGGCAATTACCTGTATAAAGAACTTCTTAAATAATTATGTACAAATCAGATGCTTGGTTATCAGATGCTTCCAATTAAAACAGTCTAAGCTGTGAATATCTAGGTCAAACTTGAATCAGACAGTACGGATTTGCTAAGGAACGTGTGTCTTTCACTGTTTGGTGTCAAATTTTGGCCCTGGGAATTCCTCAAGTATCCAGAGGAAACTCCACTCATTCCCAGGCTATTTTTGTGCATGGTTCCATTTTTCCCTGGACCATGCACTCATGTGGGAGACCCAGAAGAAATTCCTGGCTCCTAGCTTCTGATTGGCTCAGCTCCAGCCGTTGCAGCCACTTAGGGAGTGAATCCGCAGATGAAAGATCTTTCCTCTCTGTCTCTTCTCTCTGTAAATCTGCCTTTCCGATAAAAGCAAATCTTTTTAAAAAGAAAAGAAGGAAGGGAGAGGAAGGGTTGGCAGGGAGAAAATTCTTGGCCTTGGGAAGCCTCAAAACCACCCAAAAGAAAACTCCAAACAGGGGAGGGCCATCCCTATAGCCTGGTGCATTCTTACCCCACATAGACTCCCATGAATCCTGTGAGAGTCCACAACAACCTGGTCATTTCCAGGGAATACCCCGCACCATGTGTATAAATGTGTATAAATGAGGAGTCCCCTGGGGTTTTAAGAAGGGCACTAATAGACACGGACAGATTTAGGGAATAATCCACCTCTTTACGTAAGGATGTGAGTTGGTTTTGTTAAGCTCGAAGGGCGGTACATTGGTGTGTGATGACAGGTAAGAGAAGCCTGACACTGCCAGGGGGAGCTCCCTGGCATTTTAGGTTTTGTGTTTGCTAGCAGAAGACTAGATCTCTATATTGATGAGATAGTTCTTCAGATGATTCTTGCATGCATCTGCTAGTACAGGGTCCAGTTCAGTCTGTCATCTGCTTCAGACTATGCACACACTGGTGATTGTAGTTGTCTGATTGGTTCCATCCGAGCCCCATATCCTGTGCAAATCCACGGGTGCTGTGGCCCAGCCCAACCCAGCCTGCCACAGACCTGGCCCTTACACACACCAGCTGGAATTGCAGTCTAGTTGGGCTAATCCCCAATAACTCCCACCAGGCCTGCCCACAGCCCTGGTTTCTGTGCATGCCAATATGCCCAACACATTAGTCCAGTCCATGCCGCATCCCAATCGGCTCTTGTACACACCTATGGGTGTGGCAGCTTAGTTCAGCCCACCCGCACCCCGTCCTGGCTCCTGCACATGTCTCAAGCCGTGCCTGGTCTGCCCCACCGAGCCAACCCACACACTTGTTGACAAATGGAGCACCCTTGCTTGGCTTGACCAATACCCAGCCCTGACTCACATACCACAGGGTAAGCCCACTATCTCTCACAGAATCTGCCCTGAAACCCAGTTCTCTCATGTGCCTGTTAGTGTCATGGCCCAGCTTGACGTGACCCATCCCCTGTTCTGACACTCACTGGCACATGTGGTCTAGCCCTGCCAGGTGGGTCCCCAGCCCTAGCTTTAGTGTGTGCTAGTGAGTGGTGGTTGGCAGTGGTAGATGCTAACTGTTCCAGCTCAGGTCTCACATGTGGGCAGGTGCATCAGTCTGACCTAGAATTGTCCTCTAGCTTCCCTCCTCCAAACCGTTCGGCTTCAGCACCCTCACTTACTGCAAGTACAGTGGCCTGGTCGGCGCAAGTCCCCCAGAAGTCATTCCTCACCTGTAATGTACTCCCTAAGTAGTCCCCCCTGCCGCCACCACACACACACACACACACACACACATACACCCATACCCCTCTTCTCTGAGCAACCCACAGCCTCCATACCCACAAGCATGAGTGTGTGGGTTCCTGAGCCCAGTATTTCCCAGCCCAGTCTTCTGCTGTGGTGGTGTGCTGGCTGGAGCTCTGCCAGACTCCCCAGGATTGAAGCACAGGAACAGGGCCCCAGATCCGGTTCCCAGCATGCCATGCCAGCATGGGACCCAACTCCTCTACCCGTTCAGGACCCAAGCATAAGCAACCTCAGGCCCATGCCAATGTGCCAGCCCAGGACCCTATCCACCTGCGTGCCCGAGACTCAAGCACTAGTGTGCTACCTATCCACACATCTGCCCAGGATCCTAGCATGTGCACGAGTCCCTAAGCCCAGTCCATTGGCACACCACACCAGCACGTCAAGCTTGGGTCCTGCCCGGCTTGCCTGCCAGCATGGCAGAAGCCTGGCAGTTCACCCAAGTGTGTAGTTTTTAGTGTCTAAACTCAAATATATGGGACTTGCAAATTCTTCCACCGAGAAGTGAACACTCTGTGATAGGACTGTCCTTGCATCCCTGAGGAATTTACCCCAGGCTCATTTGTTGAACACCCAATCACCAAGCAGACTCAGGACAAGTTGTTTTTCATTTCCTGGGAAAATCCCCCAGTGCATTACAAAATCCAGGATAAAGATGGAACTAGGCTGCAGAGCCCTGAGTAAACACCCCAGCCAATAACTCACAGCGCAAATACAAACTCAAAAATATATAGTTATACGTGGGATCTCAAAATGTTTGTTAAAAAATGTTAAAAGACAAAATAAAATATAGAAGTTTTATTTTTTTAACATAAGCTCCATCAACACTAAGATACTGATGCAAGGGGTAACAGCAATCATCTAAACAAACCGTAAAGAGCTGAGCGTACTAGGAATGCAGCTATATGAATACACTTCTCTACACTTTCAACTGGAAAAAAAAAAATTGGGCTTTTTAATACTTAAGATTAGGAAACAAAAAAAAAGGACGAGCAAAACTGCACTTGTTTGATAAGCAGGAGAAGCAGGGGCACTGGTGTGGAGCAACAGGCTCTTGATGTGGCTCTCCCAGCTGTTCCTCCACTAAAGCTTTGGGCAATAACTTCAAAATACTCTCACAATTCACAAATATCGCTATTTGACCTCCACAAAATCAACAAGTAAAATGCCTTGAGTATTAAAAGAAAGAAAAAGAAAAGCCATTGTGACTTGGTTCTTGACTGGTACACTTTAACTTTGATTCCTTGTAGCCGCTGCCTTGATTGTGTTTTGTCTTCAGGATAGTACCGGTAGAGCCGTTTCATCTCCTGTCACGATTCTTCTAAGAAACGCTTCCGGATCTTGATCCCACTCATTTAAAATCTCCTTGGCCAGCTCTGCTCTTGTGTGCAGCTGATCTGGGCCCAACAATCGAGGGACCCACCGAGCAGAGAGCTTGCTCAACTTTAACTTCTCGGTTAGAATTTTATAAGCTGAGCCAATTGAGATGTCTATAGTGTTGGCGATTGCTTTTGCTGTTAGCGGCCGATCCTCTTCGATCAGGGCACGGACAAGGTTAATCTTTTCCTCACAGATCGATGTGGATGGCCTGCCACTGCGAGCTTCATCCTCAACATCCTCCCGACCCTCCTTGAAACGCGTTATCCATTTGTACACTGCAGACTTCTTGGGAGCACTGTCCCCGTAAACTTTCCGCAAAGCCTCAATGATTTCGCCATTCTTCCATCCAAGCTTCATCATGAACTTGATGTTTGTTCTGGCTTCAATCTTAGCTGAATTCATGTTGCTCCGATAAGGGCTCTTCTCAAACTGAAGGTATCTTTCTTATGTCAAACTAGATTCTGTTCAGACATGTCATAACAAGTTAGTACAAGCTTATTTTTATGCTGAAATCCATGCATGGTTTTTCTCATAATACACATCTCTATGAACACGATACAGTTTATCTGTCACCATGTAATGTAAAACACACATTCTACAAGTTAAAATTAATCCGTTAACTTCCAAGTTTTCAACTATATAACTATTCCAATGACATAATATTTATTCCAATGATACCCTAGGTGGTATAGTTATTCCTCAATTTAAGTCTTTATAAGTGTCCTACATATAAGACAATGGGACATAATGGGTTAAAACACTTCACAATTGGAGATCTAAACTATTTAAAGTCAGAATCGCAGTGCAGAAGGTTAGAGAAGGTATTAGACTCTTAGGATGAAATAAAGAAGCCTTAACCACAAGAATAAGAAACAGGTCATGCGCCAAGTTGGAACATCTATGTGAGATATCTGTTCCCCTCCTGAGTCAGTTTCTGCTCATACAGACCCTGGGGAGCAACAGCTACGGCTCAAGAGAGTGTGTTTATGGCACCCATGTGAGATTGACACTGAACTCCTGGCTCCTGGCTAGTCCAGCCCATTTGTGGGCATTTGGGAAGTTAACCCGGATGGGAGTTTGTTCTGTCTCTAAGTATACAGATATACACACACACCTTAATACAGAGGCCTTCTCTCAAGGCCTAGAACAAGCACCGTTTGTTACAAGTTTTCTGGAGCCAGTGTTACAGTGCAGCAAGCTAGGCTACCGCTTGTGATGCTAACACCCATATCAGCACCAGTTTGAGTCTCAGCTGCTTCATTTCTGATCCAGCTCCTTGTTGATGGATCTGGGAAAGCACTAGAGGATGAGCTCGCCTAAGCGCGTAGGCCCTCGCCGTGTACATGGCAGGTCTGGACGGAGTGCCAGGCTCCTGGCTTTGGCCTGGACCAACACTGCTCATTGCCTTTTGGGGAGTGAACAACTGGATGGAAGATGGTACTGTTTACTCTGCCTGTGCAGTAAGTAAATAAATAAATCTTAAGCTAAGCCCGATGCTAGGAGCTCCATCCTTATCTCCCACAGGGGCGGCAGGGGGGCAAGTACTGGGTCATCTTCTGCAGGAGGATGGATGGAAAGTAAGAACTCCAAGATTCCAATCAGCATTTTGATATGGGACGCTGCTGTCGTCAGCAGCAGCTTAACCTGTTGTACCACAACACCAGCTAATTCTAAAACAGTAAAAGTCTCTTTTGACACTTGAAAAGTAAAACACTCTGGCAATTCCTGCAGCCTTTGGGGTTAAGATGATCATTACAAGGACGTTCAAGTCAAACTCTGAATCACTAAGTGACTGTGGACAAGCAGTATTTCAGTGGGTCAGCCAATGGTGGCGGAGTGACCGACAGCATGAGACTACATAGTTATTAAAGATGTACACCGAGCCATTGCATTGAGTCTGCTGACAAAGTCAAGTCACCTTCCCTTTTGTAAACCAGTTAAAATTCTTGGCTGCCTAATTGATAATTAAAAGTATTATTCTAGTGAAGCACTATGCACGTGTTAAGATGAACAGAAACTATTGGAAACTAGGATTTTGGTATGGATTTGCTCAGTGCTAAGTAGGCAAGGAAGATACTATGTTAGCTTGAAGAGAGACATTCTGAATTAGAATAATCACATATCCTTTCAGCTCACTTATCATATTATATGCCAAGACATAGAGGTTTTGAATAGTTTAAATTTCTAAGAAAATATTTTACATTTGTCCAGCTACTTCGTGGAACATAATATGCCAAGAAGTGTATTGGGCATTGGAGAAATCAAGAGAGATTACCTGGAAATTCCTGAACAGTGAGTGGTCCTTGCAGTCTAGAAGAGGGATTATGGGCAGAGCTGGGAAGATGGAGGTGAGAGAGGTCCTGGAGCCAGAGGGAGGTGAGCAGACCTGCAGGGAAGAAAGCAGAGTGAAGAAGCAGACAGCTTGGTGTGAATTTAGCAAGCAAAGGAGAGGCGGTGGATGTTTTCACGGGTCCTTCATTCACTGTGTGAGCTGGTTTATTCCACAGTCAGCTCACCCGTACGAACGCCAGATGATTTTTTTTCCAAGTGTGTATGTGTAGCTGAAAGTGTGAATGCTAAAGTATGGCTGTCTCGGCAAACCTGCAGGTCCTCCCCGGCGAGCTGGACTCTGGGCCAGCCCCCTGCCCGCCTCGCAGCTGGAGGACCAGTGACAGCATCCATCTGGCAGATGTGCTGTGAGACTCCGGAAGAAACCCATCCCAGTCACAGCCGGGCACAGGGCCAAACTCAACAGTGAGAAGAAAAGAAGCATCTCCAGCGTTGGCACAAAATGCACCTGATGGCAAAACCTGACCTGGAGCTACTGATACTTGCTGCTGATCCCCACTTTGAAAGAATGTTCCCTTCCACGGCTGCGCGGATGACGAACGCAGGATGGCAGGCAGTTCCATCTCCTCCATGTTACACGCTGCCTCTAACGCTAAAGATAAAACCCCTGAGGGTTCCGAACTCCACAACATGCTGGCTCCAAGGGCTGCTAACGAGGCACAGGAGGTGAGCAAGAGCACATTCCAACACACGCAGGCGAGGAAAAAAAAAAATCTCTATTCTCCCTGCCCGAAGAGCACTACTAGGCGGGGAACCTGCGGCCTATTTCTGAAAGCTACCTTGGCTTCAAAACAAGGGTGCAGGGCCGGCATTTAGCAAGGCTACACCGAGTGTGTGTGTTCTTAAAATCTTTACCTAGTAAAAGCACTATTTTTGGTTTTCAGGATAAAGAGGAAAACAGGATAAAGCTGCCCTAATACCTAAATGCCCTCCCCGTCAATAAACAGCCATTACAGAACATGGCACGCATCCCAGTCTACGGTGGGTGTCCATCTGATGATGTTGATCATTCGTGGAGCGTTAGCAAATGGCGGATCCCCCGACGAGGACATCCATCGCAGACCCTCTATGTATTCCGGTCCAGGCTGATCAGACACAAACGGGCGGCGATGGGGCCAGGGCCAGCAGGAGCTGCTGCAGCCTGGACCAGGACCAGAGGAACAAAGGGACTCGGGGCTCCCCTGACGCGGTCCCACTCCACCCCCGCGCCCCCCCGGGCTTCAGCGAGGAGGGACCACCGTATCCCCCATGCCTTCCCCCGGGGAGGCGACTGCCCAGGAGAGCGCCCTGGACGACCACCGCCCCAGATGACCGCAGCGCAGCGCAGCGCGGACATCAACGAGAGGACCGACCACCCTCGGCCGCCCTCGCCAGCCCCGGCACCGCTACCTCTGCATCAGCCCCTCACCTGAGCAGGTCCGAGCCCGCGGCGGAGGATGCGAGGGAACCGAGCGCGGAGAGGGCGCGGCCACACACTGCAGCGCCGACTGCGCCACCGCCGAGCCCCTCCCGCCGCCGGAACTGGAAGCCCCGGGGGGCGCCGCCCCGCCCACCGCCCCTCGCCCCGGCCGGGCGGACGGCGCCCCCTGCAGGCCACCGGACGCACCGCGACTCCCAGGGATGCCCTTGAGCAGGTGCGGTGCCCAGAGCATCCCGGAATGCCCTTGAGCACGTGCGGTGCCCAGAGCATCCCGGCAGAAAACTAGCAACTTGTTACCTTTCAGAACAGATTTTGGATTCCCTATGCTCAGCTCAGAATGTTTTTTTCTCTCTCTCTTTTTTTTTTTTTTTTGCGGTAAGCCTGGACGCCGACTGGGTGGGGCTGCACACAAATTGCACTCAGATCTAGGATGGCTGCCGAGTGCCATACAGATCACGCCAGACATCAAGCAGGCGTGTAATGAGGAATATTTATTAGCCATCCTAGGCGAGGGCAGCTTCTGCTACACTCCTGGAACCACCGCGCGGCGCGGCTGAAGTCAGGGATTTTTAAGTTCTCATTGACACTCAGCGACCAGGGAGTTCCAATTAACTCAAGTGCTTTGTATTACAAATCCATCAACTGAAGTGGTGAATAATCCAATCAATTTACACCTTAGCAAGAGGGTTTACAGAAGCAGTTAGCCGCACTTGAAATCACCCTATGCCAGGGCGCTGGCTCCTTCCTGTCTTCCTTTAAAATATCACTTCTGCTCACCGCCATGGAGAGCCATCATCCGGCTGATTCCGCCACAGGCTTGCATACTCAGCCGTGGGAACTGAAGCAGAATCCATTAAAATCCATTTTGCTTTCATCTAATACTTGTGCTGTGTTACTCTCCAACACATTCTTTACAAAAGACTTATAATTCATGGAATAATGACAATTCCAGTAAATGCACCAAGACATGGCAAGAGTGACTAATGACAGATTTGAGCGGAGTAGCAGGTTCAACAACAGTCTGTCACTTCCTGGCTATATTAGGAGGGTTTTTTGATCGTCCTAGTTGTCTTAGCACACCATTCTGTTGTTTTAACAGAATTCCTAAAACAGAGTACTTTATAAATATGAGAGACCTAGCTTCACTCAGAAGGGGCCAGAAAGCCCAAGGTTAAGGTGGCTTCTTCTGGTGAGTTTTGCCAAGTGTTTCATGAGGGAAATGCAAGGAGGGCCTCATCCCTCAGAACCTCACACCCCACTCAGGCAACATGGATCGCTGGATGGGGAAGGTTTGTGTCTCCCTAGAGTCTCCCCTTTGTGTCAGAGATGGAACCTCCCAGGGCCTCGGATCACCTCACCAGATATCCAGAAGCCCCGTGATGGTGAGATTCCTCCGCCCGATCTGCCCCGTGCTTTGCCGCACAATTCTGACACCTCAGTTGTCTTGTAGACTTCATCCTACATTATACCCGTTCCCCGACATGGCTCACCCTTCTCCTGCCCCCAGGATTGCAGTGCCGCCCACTGTCGGAGCTTCTGCTGCCATGTCCCCTCCTTTGGCATCCAGGAGGAGCTTCAGTTCATGCTGAAGGTCACCCACAGCTTGGCCTGGCTCACCCAGGTGTGTGGCCCCAACAGCCCCTATCCAGGCAGCACCTGCACCAACTATGCATTCCTCTTGCCAGGCCGGTGCAAGAACTCTGAGCACCCACTCATCCTCACACACACTCTTGCAGATGCCACACAAGAAGGTGTCAGTGGTGAGCATGGCTGAGCTGGCCTTCGACAGGTCCATGTACTCCCAGTGTCCAGGCCAGGAGGTGTTCATGAGAGCCCAGGGAGGGCCAGGCCAGGATGGGGGCCTGGGGCTGCTCCTCCTACATGGGACTGGGGGTGGGAGAGAAAGCGTGGAGGGAGGAGGAGGGGTGAGGGTGCTAGGCAGCACAGCTGACCCTGAGCCCAGGCTGCGTGGGCTTCTTGCCCTTGGAGCAGGGAATGAGTGAAGGAAGGAAGGAAGGAGGGAAGAGGGGGATGCTGGGAGGGGCTTAGGATGAACAAGACCTGAACCAACAGGTGAGACGGTGCTGGAGGAGTACCAGGTGCACAATCCCGTGCCCCTGGTGGTGGGCAGCTGTGTGGGTGGCCTCCTGCTGCTGGCTCTCATCTCAGCCCTGCTGTACAAGGTGAATGTCGCTGCATGCAACCCCAGCCTCCCAGAGCTGGGCAGCAGAGCCAGCCTGGCCTTGCTTTGGCTCTGCTCCCCACCCACGGCTTAAATAGGACCACCGGGCGGCCTCTGTGGGCCCACCCATTGATGCTGCAGCAACACCCACTTCTCTGCTACCCTGCTTCCCCAGGGACTGAGTGAGCCAGCAAGGAGACAGGTCCTCTTCTCATCTGACCCTTAGTGCCCACATCATGCTCTGGGCCAGAAGTGAGGCCAGCCTGGTTCCTTCCCTCCTCCCACCACCAGCCATTCCTGCTCCCACCTCTGCCCACCCTCTCACCCGGATTCTGTGTTTTCCTTGCCCTCTAGCTGGGCTTCTTCAGGCGGCGCTCCAAGGAAATGCTGGGGGACCAGCCCACGGACAAGGCCGGGTTCCCTGGAGTGGACGCCAGCTGTGGGGATTCAGAGCTGGGGCTGCTGCTGCCTCCCCTCTGTGAGGCCACCTGCCTCCTGCTGTGAAGCCACCTCCCTGCAGCCCCCTTTGCAGCCACCTGCTGGGTGCTCAGTCATGCCCCCAACAGGGGAAGCCTGCACACTGGCCTTTGCTTTGGCCCCCCAATGACCGGCCATGGCCACTCAGGTGGCATGGTGCCCGCACTGATGGCCCACGTGTGAGCGTGGACACACGGGATGAGGACATGTGTGACACACTTGCCTTGTCAAAGCCCCAAACCAAGGACTGCATGCTGTGGTAGGAACAATTGAGGAAGCCTGCTTGTGAGTGTGGAAACAGTTCTCACTTTCTAGCGCCTGGGGTCAGAGGTCACCTTTGTCTGACGTTGCAATGAGTAGTATCCCAGGAGTGTGTGAAGGAAGCGTGCATGCAGGAGTGTGCACATGTGTGGGGAGGGCTTCAGCATGTGGTGCCACTGTGTGTGTGAGTCTCTGGGGACACATGTGCACGGGTGTGAGTGAGCAGGTGTAGGGCATTGTCCATGACTGTTGGGGGCAGTGTGTCCCAGGAGGTGGCCCTAAGATGCACAGCCCTTTGGCTCCAATGTTGCCCTTGGATGGGCTCCCCAAAGCCAGCAGCCGGGCTTCCTGCAAGAGCTGACTTCCCAGACTAACAGGGACTCCTGCCAGAGGGGCAGAGAGAGTGACTAGAATCATCCAGCACAGGGAGTAGGACCGAGGCCTCAGGCCTAGGCTGCAGAGCCCCTGGGTGGGATGGGGGTTCTCTGCAGAGGCAGGCTCCCCGAGTGTCACTCTGGTTTGCAGGCACTTGAGAGCAGCACGTGGGCCCCTTGGCCCCAGACCAAGGGCGAAGGCGCAGGACCAGCACGTGGCCCAGACCACATTGTACTTCCCTGTCTCCTGCCCCACCGCAGCTCTCCAACCCACACACCAGCTCTGCTTCACGCAGGTGCACTCGGAGCTTCTGCGCCTTTATTGGCCTGGCCCACCGCCATGTTCAGGGATGCTCATAGCCCGTGGGCAGCGGATTGCAGTGGGGGTTGTGGAAGAGCGTGTGGTTGCCGTCCCCCCAGGAGTAGGGCTGCGGAGAGAGGGGACAGGACGAGGTCAGTGCTGCCTGAGAGCGACCCCGCACGCCCCGCACCCTCCCCGCCGCCCGGCCTGGCGCCAGGACCTGGGTCTCCTACCTTGGTGCGGATGCGCAGGTGGTGGTAGGGGATGAACTCGGGGCGCTCACGGTGGCCCGCGTGGAGCCAGCAGTTGAGGGTGCACAGGGCCACGCTGGGCAGCGCCAGCACGAAGGTCAGCAGGCGCCAGGTGCCAGCTGCGGGCGGGAGGGCAGGGACAGGGCTGTGAGCAGGCAGGCACAGCACGCTGGGTCACAGGGAAGGGTGGCCCTGCACCCAGGAGCTGGGAAGGGTCAGGATCAAGCAGGGGTCCCCACTCACCTCCAGCCCCTCCGTGCTCGCCCTTGGCTGCACTGGCCAAGCCCCGGCTCAGGGTCCTCAGCGGCAGAGCCATGGCGCCCAGGAGCTGAAGGGACTGGTCCGCTGTGGACTCCACCAAGGCCTGGGTCACCTTCCCTCCTCTGGGGCCAATCCCTGCCCAGCCTGGCATGTGGGCATCTATATTTAGAAGGAGCCCCACTGGCCTGAGGCCTCCTGGGACAGCTGCTGGGCGGGGCCTTCTCTATGGCAGGGGGCAGGTGCCAACTCCACAGCTGCAGGAGACTGCTTTCCTCTGTACCCTAGTCTAGTGGGCTGACTCTGGAGGCCTTTAATGGATATTTGCATAACTCATCATGTCTTTTTGCTTACTTCTTCAAGTTTTGAATGGGAAAGGCAGAGAGTGGACAAGATGGATATTTCATTCATTTCCCAAATGCCCACGACAGATGGGGCCTTTGGTGGAGGTCAGGAGCTTACTGTTGAATCCCTATTCCAGTGTGATGGGGGGTTGTGGAGTGGGAAGGGTGGCAAGGGGTTTGTAGTGACCTGGCTGTTTGGACTATCCCCTGCTACCTCCCAGGGACACACCGGGAGGTGAGTCTGAAATTGGATGTGGCACTAGGACTCCAACTCAGGCACTCCGGTACCAGACCTCCGCATCCCAAAGCAGTGTCTGACTGCTGGACCAGACATCTGCCCCACACAGATGTCTCTGAGTCTGTTTCTGTCCTGTGTCAGGTGGGAGACTCACATGGTGCCGTTCAGTCTGTGTATTCATCACTGTTCTTAGCAGGGAGCAGGACTCAATGTCTTTGTCACGTCAATAAGCAACTGGGAGCCTGGCTGAGCTCACTGTGTCGGTGCGGCCACAGCGCCTGTCGCTGCTCTGCCACCTCCCTCAGTGTGGGTCAGCTGCCTGGGGAATGCCACCAGGGCCCTCATGGCTGGACGCTGACCACCAAAGCCTTCCTCAGTGCTGCCCTGCCGTGTGGCCTCTCGTCCCCACACTCCCTTTGAACATGCAGGAGGCCCCCATGCCGCATGGTGCAGCTCTCAGAGGTGCCCATGTCACTGTTCCCCTGCTTGGAGGACACCTGGGAGGGTGAGTTCTGCCTCCTACTGCCAGGAGCCAGGAACTGCACCAAGACAGACACCCCCAGTGCAGGAGTGTTACAAGGAGCTTGGCAGCTCAGCCTGACCATTGTCACATGCCTGCCATGCTGAGAACTCTGGCCACTGGCAGAGACAGTGAAGCCTGGCTGCCCCATGTGGACCTCAGACCCCCCTGAGCTCCAGGAAGCTGCAGGCCTGAGTGGGCTCTCTTGACAGCCTCAGCACCCAGCAGGCAGCTGGGCTGGGGTGGAATGGAGGTGGGGGTGTTTGCTAACGGCTTGGGACACTCTGCCTTGGGGAACCCTGCGGAAATGCCCAATGGAACAGCGCCTCCCAGGGAACCCCAAGCCGGACCAAAGGCTGAGGAGCCCATGGAAGGAGGAGGTCCCAGGGGCATTCTCACGGCAGGCTGTGCACCTGCCTCTCCCATGGGGTCTATGCTCAGCACTCACTCCCAGGAGGCCGCTGTTGTTGTATTTTGGGATCCTGGTTAAATGTCACATGTTGCTAAATTATTCCTGAGCCCTGAGGTGCAAGGCAGCTTTTCCCACAGTTGCTTTCCCCCACTTGCACTTGTGGGTGGCTGAGACAATGCCAACCCGACCCGAAGCCCCCACCCCACTGGATCGGGTGTGGCTCCTGGAGAGATGTGAAATGAGTCAGGTCCAACCTCCTTCCCTAGCTCTGAGTTTCCATGGTCATAGACAATTTTCCCCAGAGATTGCCATCCCTGCTTCCCAACTTGGTAGCACGCACCTGGAGCTTTTCTTGCTGGAGTCTGAGATCAATGATTGTCCCTGGTGCTTCTGACCCCCTGTCCCCGTCCCCCACCCCTCTGCCCTGTCTCTTTAGATGCTGTATTAGCCCCAGTGCCTAGAAACTTTCATCATGCAACCAGAAAACCACTTTTCACCGTGGTTTTGTCGCCATTGACTCCGGATCCAGGGAGAGTGGGCGCCCGGGCGACGAGCTCCAGGAGGGCACGGGGCGCTGCGTGCTGTGCGGAGGGGTGATGTGAGACGCTGCTGGTGATGGACGCTGCTGGCCGCCTGTGCCTCCCAGTCCGGCTGGACGCCGCGGCCCTCTCCCGGTGTGCGCCCTCTCGTGGCCACACCCCCTCGGTGCAGGCTCCGTGCAGTCCGCCGAGCCCAGCAGTGCAGGCTGCCTGACCGCGCCAATCCATGGCCAGTCCATGGCCCGTCGCACTTCGTCGCCTACTCCGACGCGCCTCTGTTTTGATTGGTCGAGAAAATTATATTTTGCTTCAGACAGAAAAATCAAATCCAACGTACTTCTAGAGGTAAATATCAGACGGTGTTATATGCTGTTTTTGAATAACTGTCCATTGTTAGAATAATTTGATAAGGATGGTTAAAACACTGTTGGAGTGTTAGGTTTATTGTCTTTCACCTGTGTTCATTTGAAATAGAAATCAGATGAATTCTAAGTAAGGTGGACATCTCTCAATTCTTTAATATCAGGTCACACACCATTTGCCAACTCTTCCAGGTTAGTTTAGCGCAGGATGCAGGCAATGCCTTTATTTCTGGTTGCAAGGTGGGACTAAATGCCCAAACATCTTGTGTTCAGCATTTCTGCCAGTACTGAGTTCTGATTCTACGCCCACTTGCCTGTATGTAACAAATTAGAAAGTTACATGTTAACTAGGCCCCACTTTCACTTGTAATTTTAAATCATTCCATGTTATTTAAACTATTGAATTGCCCTGTTATGGAAGGTTTTCATTTTGTCAGATCAGCAGCATGTCATTTGAAAACTGAAGAGAAAAAAAAAATCTGTTTGCTACAATATCCTGTGTTGTGTTGTCACTGTAGGAGATGGTTGTTTAGGTTCATTCCAAATGAACAAAAACATGACTTGGTTTTCCCACTTACCAAATGGGTGACGAGCTGGCTTCCGTCATGGAGGGCTGTGTGGGTGACTATACAGTACCATGTCAAACGCTGACTCAGTGCCTGACACGGACGATGAGTACGGCAAGTGTCCCGCTGTGGAAATCCTAGTGTTACCAAATTTCACCGCGTGACAATGAGACTTTTGAGACGACCTACGAAGCCACTCCCCAACAATGAGCTTTGGATCATGAACACAAACTCCCCAGCTATAACTTCTTCAAATGGATGATACATTTCCTAGAGATAGCTCAGGCTCTGAAACCAGTGAGGGAAACTGCTGTGCAGGAAATGTTTCAACTCTTAGATAAAATTGTGCCTCTCTCTCAGCGGGTAACCCAGCACAGGGCTGCAGTGGGCGGCGCTCAGCGCAGTCACTGGGGGCCGGGCTCCCTCCCTCCAGGCCTCCTGACGCACAGTGGATTAAGCCAAAACTTGGGATTCCCACAACCAGTATCTCAGTGCCTGGGATCAAGTCCTGTCTCCACCTTGGATCCAGCTTCCCAATGATGCCCCCGGGAAGCAGCAGGTGAGTCCTGGTACTTGGATTCCTGCTACCTGCATGCGAGATCCAAAGACAGTTTTCTGCTCCAGGATTCAGCCTGGTCTATCCCCAGTAGTTGTAGAAATTTGGGGAGTAAATCAACAGGTGGAAGATGCTGTGTTTCTCTTTCAAATAAATAAGTAAAACTTAATAAAAAAAAACAATAAATTTTTTTAACAGTCCATCAACATTCATTGATTACACGAGCTGCCGGCAGCCTCCCTCACGTTTGGACAGAACTGCCTGCTATGGTTTCCTCTCCGCGTCCAGAGGGCTTCATTGAGCACCAGTCAGCCATTTCCCCTTTGTGCCCATGGGAAATGGGGACAAGCTGGACAGGTGCGTTCAAGAGGAAGAGCCCCACAATGAAGCTGAATGCCGTCTGTCACCAGACACACGAAGACAGCACCCAGAGTTGGCACTTCAGAGAACTCTCCTGACAACCACTGCAGGACTGCTGGCTGCTACCGTTCAACAGACTGTGAGCTCCCTGGACCAGACGCCTTGCACTAGGTGACAGACCCTACAGTTTTGAGACCCGCCATCCTGGAAGTCATGCTGGCCAGGAGCCCTGTCCTGATGTGGATCCTGCCAAAGCAGCCGCTGGAGTGCCTCCTTTATTCAGCATGGAAGAGTCGGCACCCACCAGGGCCTTCTCATTGCCCCGACTGTGGCAGACCTCTCTGCACACGCTCCAGCCTTGTCCTGCCCCTGGGTCTCCACAATGGTCCCGATGTGGGAAGATTTTGGGGGACAGCTCAAAGCCGCATCATTGCCAGAACCCACACAGAAGGTTCCTTCTGCTGGCTCAGCTGTGGGCAGATCTGTAGTGGGAAAATCTCCCTCCTGCAGCACAGCTATCTGAATCAGGGCAGAGGGTTTGTCGGTGCGAGACGGGAAGAGCTTCAACCTTCAGCCACACTCCAGCACTTTGATGCTCACTCAAGCCCCAGGCACCACTGAAGGGTCCAGCTATAGCAGCCTGTCTCTCCCTGCACCAACAGAGGCCCCAGATCCTTCCATTTCATCCTGGTCCATGCCCCTGCTCCACTCACTCTCCCCTTATCCTGCCCCTCTAGCTTGCCAATCAGTTCTGCCTCTTGCCCCACTCCTGCTCCAGCTCCTGATCACACACATCTGTCCCGGACTCCTTACCTTACCCCATCCCTGACTTCACCTGTGCACCCTGTATCTCCCCTCAACATCCATCAGCCCTTGTGTCTCCATCACTCACTCCTTCCCCAGCACCCCCCAGGGCCTCCTGCAGAGTCCATATTCCCTGGTGAAGGCAGTCGTGGCTGATGGGTTCATCTGCAAGGAATGCAGAAAGAGCTCCAGTGGATGCCCCTGCCACACCAGCACAAGGATACAGGTATGCTTCATCCAGAGCTCCTCCCTGATCCAGCACAGACAGAACCACTTGGTGGAAAAGCCAACACTTGTGCATGTAGTGCAGCTGGCACATCAATCAGCAGGTGCACCTGCCCAACCAGCATGCACTTGCTCCTGAAAGTGGCCATTGGCCTGTCCCGGGAGCCACAAGGACTTAAGGGA